CGTCTGAACATCTCTAAGGCAGAACTCCAAATGTCAAAACATCTCTGTGACCTGAATTTCTTTGGAAGAATATCTTAAAGCAGTTTCTGCAATAAAGCCAGAAGCTTAGAGCAACAGGAACAGAGGAAGCATGAGGGCTGTCATTTCCTCTAAAAGCAGCAAGATAATAATTCCTATTAACACCTCCCAGAGATACAGACCATTCCAGTGGGCCATATGTGACTCTTCTTTTGATTATTTTTTGTGCCTGAAAGACTAGATCAGTCAACACAATATGAAGGAATTAGCTCCTGGCACTATCTTGTGTGCTGTATGTGTATTCGAGACACCAACTCTAGTGCTTTCAATGTGCATTTTCACCCAGAAATTTCACTGCTGTACTGTATATCAGAGAAGTGGCAAAAGAATTATTAGCTTTAAAAAACCAAAACCATGATGTAATGAAATCCCAAATACTGTATCAACAGTTTCAGTTACCGATAAATAACAATTCTTAAAGCTCTGTATTAATGACAGCGATTCTGAAAGGTCCGGCAACACTGACACCTAGAACAGCTGGATTATAAGTATAAAGGTATAATTACAGGAATACCTGCACTGTCTGAAAGGATACTATCAACTTTACTGCAGTCTAGATACTGGAAAGTTCAAAATAACCAAAAGCTTGAAATATTTAATGACTATGCTTACAAAAATGCTCTTGAGAAACAGCTGTTCTAACCCATTTTCCAAAGTTCATTCAATCTGCCACTTTTATCATTTGTTTGTTTGTTTGTTGAAGTATATTTGGTCTGTGAAAAGATGAAAAGCTCCACAATTTTAGTTCTCTTTTCAGTCAATAAAAACTCAGTGGGAGAGAGGCAGGAGGAAAGAGAGTAGGATGCTTTTCCTGTTACAATAGCAAGACTTGGGAGACATGGGTTGAGTGCCTGGCTCTGACACAAATTTCCTGTGTGACCTCAGGCAAACCATTTGGTATTTCAATTACTTATCTGTAAAGCAGGGATAACCACTATCCCAGACAAGATTTGCTTGGATAACAGTTATTAACATGTTAGAGGTGCTCAAAAAGTCATGTATTAGCCTCCTAGAGACCATATACCCAAAAGCAGTGGTCGAAATGACCCAGGGTATGCCAGTGTGTCATGCAGACATCTCTCATAAAACCATACTTGCCTACTACCACTCTTCAGCCTGCAATGCAAATAGGTCTCACAACAGCAGTTTGAAATTTCTCCAAAGACAAACTGCAAAGTAGAAGAAAGATGTCAAATAATGCGGGGGAAATGCAACCTGTTGTTGAGGAAGAGGGGTACAAACGCTGCAATTATTTATTAGCACAGTGCCCAAGACCATACTACCCAGCTGGACCTCCTTTAAGTAATCCAACAGAGGTACAACAGCAACAAAAAACAAGTTAAGCCCAAGATTTAAGGTTTTTGCCTTGTTTTGCTAACAGCTATTCAAAACTATATAGTCCATCCCATCCTTGTCAGTGTAACTTAGGGTCTTGTGTAGAAATGATGACAAGCTATGCTGGGAAATTAGCCCTTGCCCACTTGGTGGGTAGCATATGCCTCAGCTAATTCCGGTGTCTTGTCCAAGAGTTCTGAGAGAGTCAACGCAGAGAAACAAGCAATGCCTAGAAGGAATTCATCACACCCAAAGTTAGATAGGTTGAGTTTTCCATTCCTCTGTCTTGGCTATATAGGAACATATAGGATGACTGACTTTAAAGGAGATACCAACACTTGAGCAGACAAAAACTGTCAAGGAGGCTCCCATCTCTCTGCTGCTACTGCAAACACAGACACACACCCTCTCCCATGGCACACAGAGACCAGAAGGGACAAGCAAACAGGTCACAATCCTTTGACAGGCAATGTGTCGAAGGGAAGGTGATCTTCCACATATAAGTCTGGACTAAATAAAACATTAAAATGAAATGCCATGGAAAATGAGACATAGGCTGGAGAATTAATTGAGTCTAGTCGGAGAATTGACTCACGTCTATACTATACTGGTGCCTCATACAATATCCCAAAACTGTTTCTCAGTGATTCTGCCTTCGGTGCCCATCTGTAAGCCATATATATATTTATCTCATACCATTCAACAGCACAAATCTTTGAAATCTGCTTAGAAAGTTCTTACTGGATCTATATTTACACAGATTCAGTGATACAGTTACCTGCATATGAGGGAGAGTAATACTTTTCAGCCAAAAGGCTAGAAAAGTAGCTAACAACAAAGGAAGTATAATGCTTCTTTTGAAGTAGTGCAAAGAGCTGGCTCCATCTCACAAAGACAGATTACTCTGAATTTCAGCAATAAATTCGCCTCAGTTGTGAGGTTTCTCCCTCTTGGCCACCACAGTATAAATGATGGTATTTTAGAGGTTTAACAAAAGCTTTGAAAGTAAGAAATAAATATTAGAAATGAAATACAAGAATGTGTCTCCTTTACAATTTATTTTGATTTTCTTTTGTGTAGTTGACACAAAATTATCTTTTGAAAAATATTATGTTGAAAGAATAAATTTCTCTATGACTTACATTTGTTAAAAGAACACCCAAAAAGAGCAAACCATAACAGGGACTATGGAAAAATATTTTTTGGTATTGATAATATATTCAGACCTAGCTAGCATTTTTTGCAGATAGCCACAGAAAAATACAGGGAACGTGAGTCAGCTTGGTAACACATCCTGCTGATATTACATACACCATTTAATCAGGGAGGACTGATTAAGATTCAATCCTCTTTGGAGGTGTGACTCAGAGAAGTGTTCTCCACATTTCCTTCAGGATTAGCCTGCCCTAGTTTTACACAGCATTGTAGGAAACCAGGAACATACAACCGGGTGCTTGCCGTAGGTGAGGGACAGCAGCCAACAGCTGGAGGGGCTCAGCTACTTATGATGATCTGGCCACAGATACAAAGAACCTTTTATTGTGTAAAAAAGCAGCTGATTCACCTAGTTCTGCTGGACTTTATTGTTTCAGTCATGAATAGCTCTCAGTGCCTCTCTGGGCTCAGAACACATTGTAACGTACTCACCATCATGTGCTGAACGTGAAATATTTCGGCTCCAGTAGCAGAGAGGCGGTTTGGAAATGAAAGGTCAAGAAAAGCTCCAGGGAGAGTGCTTGGTCCAGCATTGTAAACCTGTAAGACAAAGATGCATATAAATGTATAAAAAAAATAATAAAAATAAAATTACATATGTGACTGCTCATAAACAGGAAACTACTGTGGAACCAGAGCTGGGAGAATAGGTAAATTTGAAAAAATTCAAATACTATCCAAGTTTTTCAATGTCTTCAGACTAAGACTTCTTTTGTAAGTACCAGGATGAAGTCAAGGCTTTAGTTCATCTAACAGTCTTTAGGCACAGCTCAAATATCAAGTGAGATGCAGTTTTGCAGGATAATTACTAGTCATCAACACAAATAGCATGAGACTTCTGCCTTAAATACAGAGACACTGCTAGTACTCAGAGTATTTTGGTAACACCACCCAGAAGACTGTAAGAAATATTGCTGTCTCAGTTAACATTTTCATTTCCATCTGGTAACCACTGCATTATATTCTGCATATGTTTTCCTTATGGAGCAGAAGCCAAAGTAATGATAATTGCGACTACCGGACTGTGGGTTTGCTGAGTTGCCAGGAAATGCATGCGAACAACTTCCATTCAAGTTCTAGGATTTCCAATTAAGTGAAACTCTTAGTGGAAAACACTGGCTTTCTATCAAACCCCCCACAAATTTTGAACAAAAACTCAAAGAATTTCCAGTCCACCACAGAAACATATCCAGTGAAAATTCCAAAATTTGTAGGTTTGTGCTGGAAAGAAACAAACCATGGAAAAATTTCAATAAAAATAAGTTTTTGTGTCTAGCTACATATTTTTATTAGGAAAAATATTCCCTGGTTGTTTCTAATGACATATATATAAGTGCATACAGTAGAAACATTAAGCCCATTAGAATATTTATCCACACTGAGATAATACTGTCAAAAGATGTAGCAAGCAGTTGTTAATTGTTTAAAGTACGAGTATTAAAACCAACAGGTTTTCATTCTTCAAACACAGTTTATATTTGAAGAAATGCCTGACTGATAAAGAGAATCAGTTCACAATGCCAAATTCTTACAAAAACCCTGAGGCTCCAGGCAGGGGGAGAAATCCCACTACAATGGAGCATGATAAATGCTGCATGAAATACAAACATAATGTTTCATGTTGGACATTTAAAAAAAACTTGATTATCTCACGGAGATCAGACATAAGAGTTAATGCAGATTCACTGCACATCCTTTAACACCCAAAAATGATGCATAGATCTGCTTCCTTATTAACACTGGACATGGTACAAATTGTCACATATAAAAAACGCTATAAAACCCCTATTTTTGTAAATCATCTCTTTTTCTTGGTTAAGAAACTATTACTTTCTCCATCTGGAGAAGTTTAACAAATGGCAGGCAAATCATTAAAAACAATTAAGCAAACAGTGATACAAATTATGCTTTGCCCATGATGAAACTTTACCCTTTCTCTCTGACACACACAGCTATGAGGTTTACCACGATATTGGAGAGCAGATCTGTGACTTGTTACAGTATAATTTTCTACTTCTATATGGAAAAATTTATTAACATCACAAGTTGGAAGGGTGTGCATGAGACAAGAGGATTGGGCAGGACAAATGGTGGCTCTGCCAAGGTATAGATTCTCTCTCCTTACCTGTTATCACTTTGTTTTATTGAAAATATTTGCATAGTTAAAGCATCAGTACATCTGTTCTTTATCTGTTTTTAACCCATAACTGGCTATGGCAGGGATTGAGAGGGGAAGACCCTCAAGAATGAAATCAGCATCACAAGAATTAATAGCCTGGTTCACAAAAGCTTTAATGTCCTGAAATCCTGCTTTCACTCCTTTTCAGTAAATAGCTAAGGGCACTGCATGACAGTGGGGGCTTAATTGCTCTGGACCACAGTCTGTCCATGGAGGCAGACACATGTTATTCATTATGAGCTGAGTGGCATTCATGCCTAAGAGAACAGAAAAGGGAAAAAATGCAAAAGACTTTCACAATAAATGATTCCCCCACCTCTGCGTGATTTATCATTCCCTAGTTCCATCTAGTGGTCAAAAAGGATTTGAAGTGCTTGTAATAGATACAGTCACAGCAGCAAAACACGTTCATTTCAGCCACATCACAAGAGTTTGCTACAATAAATCATCCATATATTTTGCCACATCAGGAATCCATCTAACTGCCATATGAAGTGCAATCTACAGATAATACTTGAATAACACTGAGATACTATGAGACATTTAATGAAATGTTCTCACACCTCACAGATTTTTAGTGTCACAATCTCTTCCATGTACTGTACTCTTCTCAGTAGTGCTATAAACATTTTCATACCGAGGGCATCTAGCAAGTCTGAATCCCTTGCACAGGTATGTATTCTCACAGCTAAAGGCTGCCCACTCCTCTGCTCTGTGACCATGCCACTAAATTACTCCTGCCTTTTGAACCTGTGACTGCATTCAACATGTGGCACTTGAGTTACCAGAGTTCTTTACTCAGCACATGATGAAAGGTAAAAGAGAAACAAATGGCAGCAGCTTCATTCCTATGGAAGCAAGATGCCCTATTTGCAACTCTTGTTATAATACATTCAGATAACATACCATCCCTGCATGCTGTACATGTGGCACCCAATCAAGAATGCATTGCACGGCATACTGTGATTCTGAAACATGCACCAAAGCCCATACCACACTCAGAATAAAAGAGATACAAACCCAGAATGTGCTGTCAAGCAGGAAAGCAGTCAAAATAATTATCAGTTTTACCTGCAGTGTGAAGTTGAGAGACTGGAAAAGGCATTCATGGTTTTCCAACTGAACAAAGTTGGATGCTTCCACAGAATCACCGTAGAAAAATGAAGTAGGGAAGACTTCTCTGAAAGATCAAGACACAGGTTTAATAAGCTGTGTTTGTCACAAAAATTAGATGTATTTGTGGCAAGCTGAATTGCACCCCTTACTTTCTGATCATGTGAAATTCTATGGGCCCATTTGACACTAATCTATTATTTGTGATTTGATTTTTTCTTGACCACACTAGACTACACAAGCAGCATCTCAACTGACCCAGGTTAACAGTCCATCATTGAAGTAGACTTCTTTTGATTACTTAGCTCTTTTTCTCCTTTCCTATCACAAAACCTCTTCTCCAGGGCCCCACGCCATGGATGATTTGCACAAGTCCTATAGCTTGTATAACACAGGAAGTCATTGCACTACCAAATTAATCTGAACAGTTACTAATAGGAATACTTTTGGTTACATATTCACTAAAGTAACATTTCAATTTCATCTAGCACTTACATAGCATCGCAGGAATAAGCACTTCATTAATTATCTGAGCTTCGCTACCTTTATGACTAGCAGATGGTTAAAGGGAAGAGTAGAGGGGGATATAACTTGCTTTAAACTACAGTGGCACAAGACAATTCGCACCAGCTACTCTTACCATCTTATCACAAAGTAAAACGCAGTAGGGTTTTATCAGAAAAGACTTGGAAGCGCAACACAGCACCTAGAAACCCTACAGCAGAGGACTAGGAGTGCTTTAAGCATCCTTTGTGCCTTCTTCTAACCTCAGGCTGCTCCACTGGCTGGAAAGGGTCCTGATGTAATTTCAGACAAACCTTGGCAAGGGACTGCTTAAAACTCTGCATCTTTCCCAGGCTGTCCTTTTGGGTCAGAGTTTTTTGACGCACGATTTTAAGCCTGTTTAGGTACATTTCCTTTTTTCCTGCCTACCTCCTATGCCAGGGATTGCTAGGGGAAACAGTAAGAGACAGATTAATTCCTCCCATTTAAAGTGTCGTGCCAGAAAGCTCCTCCCAAACATGGTACAAGCCCTTCTGGGCTATTTATGACCAGAGATGAAGTTTGCTCTCGCAGACTCTAATACAGGATAGCTAATAAAAATAAGCTTTAAAAATAGACTGTCCAAAAAAAGAGTATTACTAACATTACCATGCTTGGGAATGTCATGCCTTCCAATTAACCCAACTTTTCCCTGGTAGACAGACATTTCTGTGAACTTGAATTAACTAAGCCTTCTCTATGAGAAAGAAGAAAATAATCCACATAGTCAGTTGGGTGGGGCTTATAAATTCAGAGACCTTGTGCTTAAAAAGTACATTCTGAAAAGAAAGACAAGAGCCCAACTTTTACCAGTTTTTTTGGCATGCAGTATTCTGTAGGTGACAGAGATCTAAAGACACAGATGAGAGCATTCGTATCTGTAAAGCTCTACAAAATCCATCTGTATCAAAGCATCAAGAAGCAAGGGACAGAGTTAAATTTCTACACAATCTGTAATAATGAAAGCATTCCAAAACTTCTAGAACACGCTGCTGGGACTGCACTCCCAATATAGAGGAGATTTTTATCCTTGCTAGTCATCTTCACCTCACTAGCACTCCTTCACTTCTCTGAACAGGCTCAAATGTATCTTCTACCCATTCTGACTATTGTGGCAGTAATTAAGGGATTTTATTTCTATGCAACAAGAGGGGAACCCAGTTTCATGTAGTAAAACCCAGACTAGGCCATGAATCTGAGTTTATCCAGCTTTTCAGCCAAATCATATGTCAGGGCAGGTAACTCTTTTCCTACACATGTAGCATGCTGGTCAAGGGAATCTTTAACTTCTGCTGATGCCAACCTGCACTGGTCATTTAGACAATATGTATTCCCTGCAGGTTGCCATAAATGGTGGCTAAAAGAGACACTGACCTCTTGGGAACACTGCTGTTAAGTTTTTGCTTCCTCACTTTAGGTATGAATGTCAGCTTTCTCATTCTACATGGATGCTAATTCACCTCTAGTGACCAGGTCCCCCAGTTCCAATTTGAGCACTGTCTATGCTAGAGGACTGTCTGTCTGTTGGGACTGACCATAAATCTTTCATTCTAGACTTAAGAGTGTAATGCAGAAGTGGAAGGGAAGACCCTTGAGTACAAAGGCAGGAACTTGCAGCCCCTGGGAGAGGACAACGGCTATGTGTTACACAAGTATTTCAGTCAAAGGGTGAGTGATGTTCCTCGGTTGGTATTCAGACACCTTTCAGACTAGGGAGCAAAGGGAGTGGGAAAATGAACAGAAGCAGAAGCAAATTCTGATTGTGAAATTAAACAGAAAGGCAAACAGCTAGACTCCACCGAGCTCCTTAAAATCCCAGATTTGACCCTAACCTTTGGCCTGGTGACTCTCAACCATATGCTTAAATATATGCCCTGAGGAACAAGATGTGATGTACTTTTTATCCTTTTATTTTAAGGTCCATCACATCTACAGAATCACATGAATTCAAATATATTCACTAAAATACCTACTATAAATGTGATGGTAACTAATTAGTGTTAGCTAGAAAGGAGTGAGAAAGAGGGACACTGTTGAAATGAAAGGCACGACAAATAAAATTCCTAGATAATGAATGAAGTTGTCTGTATTTCCAGAGTCTGGGAAACAGGGAAAAAGCAACAGTCTGGCCACACGTAAACAAAGAAAATAATTCAGTTTTTCACTGAAAAAGACTCAGACGTTATTGTTAGGATTATTATTATTTTTGTTGTTTTCATTTGGTGACTGGTACTTACCCATTGATAGATGAGTCCACTTCATGCATCAGGGGCACCGACAAGGTTAGAGTATTATCATGCAGAGATTCAGTGCGTTCTAGGTTTCCACTGTGCCAGAAAGGAATAATAAACATGCTGTAATATGACAGCCTTTGCAATATATCACACAGTTTCACAGCCACCAACTCTCTGCCTTGTACCCTGAGTCTCTCTATTTGAGTGATGTCAGCTCTCCTTAAGAAGCCTCTTAAAGATTAAGAGTTACACTTGTTCACCCACCTTGGAGAGAGCATAAACATAAAGCATATGTTTTGCAGCTGCTCCTCTGTGACATGATCAGGCTCTCACCAAAAAAACCTGTCTTGGAGCAAGGTGTGAATTCAAATGGCAGTGTGAAACTACCGCAGCCATCATATACAGTGGAGAGAAACAAGGACATTTAGATTCCAATGCAAGGGTTCATTTTCTCCCAGGCTGACTGTATGTCAGTTTGGGCAGGGTACACAGACCCCACAGAGGGTCTTTACTCAGTAAGAGAACCATGCTTTCATTGTACCTGCATTGTACCACAGCACCAATTTGGTGCCACGACATGCAGCTTTTGGGGCAAGACCCTCATACTGAAGGGGCTGTAACCTCTCAGCAGTTCCCCTCCTCTTCCTGCACATAGTTGCCAAAATGAAAGCACTTCTACTTTACATTTTCAAAGGCAGTTGTCTCAACTGGTCAAAAGCAGAAGGATGAAAGAGAAAAGTGAGCAATCATCTCTCATTTGAGTCAGTTTATTTTAGTGTGAACACTTATGAAGTCTGGGAAAGGTTCCTAAAATGCATGTCCAACACACGAACTTGTAACTACTCCAATTCTGATGGTGAGTCTGCTTGGTGGGTGACAGCTCAGAAGAATGATCTTGAAAGATATGTTACATATCTTTCCAATTTCTTCAGCAGTGACTCTGGAATCACTTTTGCCTTGCAGTTCATTGGATTTACTCACAAATCAAACTGGCAAAACAAAAGATATGATTGTATTTATTTGGGGACAGTATCACTGAGGCAATAGCAGGCAGTAACATCCCAAGTGATACCATGCAGATGATGAGTTGCTCAGATTATAAAAACAGAGCCTGCTGGCTACATACATGCATAGATATAGCTCAGCTTTCTGCAACTGACACATTGGCCATGTCTGCTAATAAAACTATGGCCCAAATGGAAAAATCCACAAATTTTCAGTCCCAGGAAAAAAAAGGCTTAATAAAAGCTTTTCCTCTCAATAGACTCAAAGAAGAGTCCAAAATCGAGACATTTCTCATCCAACACAAGTAAGGTACCATGGTGGCAAGCAGAATAAGCAAGTTGAATTCCATACAGGGACATGGCTATGTCTTACCTGTTTCAAATGGAGCAAAGGTACTGTCAGAAAATGAGAATATAGCTCAGTGAATCTAGCTCTAGAAAAATAGTTCATGCCAGGAAGCACAGAAGTAGGGGTTTGGGTTTTTAAATAAAAAGATAAAGTGTAATGTAAGCTTTAGTTCTTTCCCAACTGATCTCTCCCACTACTGAACAGTCTCTTGTTACAGATGCTACTGCCAAATTTGCAGCTTCAAGGGACAGGCTTAAGTGACCACTTACTTTCCCATGACAGCATGGCATAGCTTCTCTGAGCCCAGCTATTTCTGCCAGACTAGCTCCAGTTTTGTGTGGAAACAATTGCAGTCTGGCCACAGCGCAGGCATTTCCTCTCAATTTCCTTATCACTTTACCCCAGGGCTCCCTGCAACTCTTGTGGTAGAAAGATTTTTATTACACTTACTGGACAGTGAGGGAATTGAGCAATTTGCCTAAAGTCACAGAGAAAAAGAAGGTAATCAGCACTGGGACTGCACTGTTGTCTTTGGAGGTTCAGTTGAATCCTTCAAAACAGAACTGACCTCCCACCCACGCTTTTGAAATGCAAAACTTTCTCTTAACCCCTTTGAGCATTTGCACTATGTGTACAAACAACTATTTATTTCTTTGCTCCATCTAAAGGCACTGACTAACTCTTCTCACTGGTAGGACACAGAAATCTGAAGACTGAGGTTACAGAGGAAAGTCCTGTGTTACCCAAGGCAGGGAAATGAGAAGTACAATAGGGAAAACACTGGCTGGGCAAATTTAAAGCAGTGCTGACCCGTCTTTGCACCAGCTGGCATTCACCTAGCAGATACTGATGCATCTCCTTGACCTAGAAGCATCACAGGGTCCTCTGAACACACGATGAATTTCTCCAACATGTGAGACACAGTCTTGCCTCTCTGATGCAAGGTCTCACTTTCAGTGTTTCATGCCAGCCCCACATACTGCGGGATCTTGTTCCCACCTACAGCTGTTACTGCAGGGAAGGACTACACCTTATGAGAGCAGTCACTCAGCAACTGCTACATCTCATCTCCAGCTGATTGGTGAGGTGTCATCAAACTGGGGAGAAGAATTCAGGCTGCATATCCCGATTTTGACACAGGAGGGTATGAAGTTGGCCCACTCACACAGTAAGTGGAAGCAGGAACCAGCCACAGCCCCAGCACGTCAGCGCAGCAGTTCATGGCCCAGGTTAATGCAGCTGTGCTACCATCAGTTCCCAGGCACACCCCAACAGTGCCTCTGACAGAATCACCCACTGAGTCTGCTGCTTTGCAGCACATCATCTTAGGAGGCACAGAGCATGTGTCACACCTTTTATTCTGCCTGAGATACAATTCCTATGCATGCACACTTGGCATCACCCTACTTCAATGCCTCCTCCAAGTGCCCTTGGGGAAGTACCTTATTCAGCTGTTTCACGCAGTCTGTCATAGCTCACTGGAGATCCAGAGAGGGGGAAAAAATAGACATGCAACTTTGGAAACTGTCAGTGAGATTCCTGACCATCTGATGAAAGCATTTATCTTTTTTGGTTTGCATCCAAGTACGTTTATTTCATTCAAATGCTGGAACAAATGGGTTTGCCTGATGCTGATTGTCAACTGCAGCTGAGCTGAGCTTGATACGGGGCCCAAAGGGATGGGCACAGGAAGACAAGGGCCTTTCGACTGAGAGAACACAAAACGCTCCTTCAGAATTGCAACTGCCTGGCAAAGAAAGCCTAAGGATGATCATACCTCATTTTTCAGGAAGCTGTGTCACATGGTTCCTCTGTATTACCAAATTACATATATTTAGCCCCAGTAATTTAACCTCATTTATTACACATATATGTGTCTACAACCAATCACACAACCGTCAATCATATGCAATGCACACTTCATGTGACAAACAATATCCAAGTCATCAAGATGTACAAAGTTTCCCTTACCTTTGGGCAGCGACAAGGAAGTTAAGTGTTTCTTCCTGACCAGATAAGTGGCTTGTATCAAAGATCACACTGAATTCATACTGTGCAAAGAAAAGGCAGTATTTAGAGACACTGTATACTGTTCCAAAATGTATTTCTTTAGAAACTTCACATATATTTTACTGGCACAGCTGTACAAAAGTAGTGTATTTTGATACATGTAAGACAGCTTCCTCTACTGCACAGTAGCTTTTAAATCTTAGCAATTGTGTCTCTGTTCAAATACCACAGTCTGATTTTTCCTTCATTGTGAAAAGGCCTTTACTAGAATTGCCATTCAGAGATACTTGTGAGGAGACCATCTGCCAGAGAAGAGTCTTCCAATATAAGGGGATCACTCCCTGAAACTACCTCAGCACCTATCTACACGTTACTTGCTGGTGAAGAGATCTTTCGGGGGAATAAAGATCATACCTGCACAGAGACTTGGAGCAACAGTCCAAGCTAAAGCATCAATCAGGCCCCCATCATAATGGATAAAATCAGGTGCTAATTTTGAAAACAGAATCTACTTTGGTGACCACTGTAGCACTACATTAACTTCTCCATGCAACAACTTTTCTACCTAATTCCAAAACAGTTTTTGGCCCAGTGAAAGAGTTTCCCAATTCATGCTAATTTCAATGGCTTGCTGAAAAAACTCTGAAGATAACCCAACGATGTCATTCCGAAGCAAACCACTGAAATTCTTACATTCCAGATGACACTTTACTACTGTATTTATTTTTTCCAATCTTTTTAAATGTTTCAAAAGAGCATTTAACAGTCAATAAAACACATAAAAAGTTTCATGTTGAGTCAGGATATGTCAATTCAAATGTAAAGGACTAGATTTTGAAATCAAAATTTTCTGAAAAATTTCAGACTTAGTTTGTTCAGGTCATCCTGAAGTTATTCCTCATCTTCTCACCTTTCTGGGTTGTACAGCTCAGTTTGGTAACAGAAAGAACCCAGTTGGATTTCTAAAGATTATAAGAGAGTACATCTTCTATTACTGAACAAAATCCTCTTTAAAAGCTACCAGACGACCATAATATGAAAAAGTCATTAAGACATTTTCATTGTAATTTGTACAAATTCATTTGCACTTTAATGTGAGACAAAACAAAAATTAAAAACAGAATAAGACAACATAAATAAGACAGAGAGTCCTTTTCTAATTTACTGCAGAGGAAATACATGTTTTTCACAGCTGCAATTTTTGCATCATTTTTCAAAAGCACTGTATTGCAATGCACAGGGTCCTGTCATTGGCTCTATCTGGTGGGAAAGACAACATCTACCCTCCATAACTGTGAAAGGCTTGGATATCTGGGTTAGAAAGCTACAGAAAGCATCAGTCACAGAGATTTTTAACAGAGCTGTTGCCTTTCCAGCCACTCCTTGAAGACAAAGAGGTGAACGGATCATCATTCTGCAAATGCAAATATCACAACATTACCCTAGATTTCGATCTCATGAAAGGAAATCCCACGCTGCACTTGAGGAAGTCTGACTCCAGCAACTCACAGGCAATGCCCAGCTCCTCCTGTAAAAAAATAAAAAAGACCATGAGATGATAGATTTGGGAACAAAAAGAAGATTACTAAGAAATACCATAGTGATGAAGTATCATAGAAAACTAAACATTTCCCACCATAGCACTGTTATTCCCAGAAAACTAATACTCATTGAATAAGGGAAAGTGCAGTATTGCACTTCCTTACTCCATCACAGTCAGACCAGTACTGGGAAGAAGACAACCATCAGAACATTGTGCTGAGAGACAGCCACAGGGAAATACTGCATGACCAAACACATTACAGTCAGGGGATCAGCCCAAGTTCTTGGATAACTCAGACAATCAGTTGTTCCCTCTGTCTATTACAAGACAGCTTTCAAATGGTTGAGAATAAGGGTTCCTCAAGGTAGTTTTTTCCAGGTACTAGCATCATAAAGAGAGAACTGTGTTGGGTGACAGTGACTAAACCATGCCACACACAGATGCTGGAGAAAACGCTGATCTGGTGCTTGTGTCATTCACTGCCCTGATCTCTTTCTCTGGACCACAGGATGAGCCACGTTGATAAGGACAGCAATTTTCTTTAACAATTCAACAGTGGCATAGATAAAGTAGAGGAATGACCCCTCCTCATGCTAAACATTCATAGACTATGAACATTGTCAAAAATACAAAAGAAAAAGGTTAGAGCAGCCCTATCCTGCTTGACTGGTGACTCCACTACAACAACAGAAATAATTCTGTTGAGCAGCGAGTCTTTCATTGCTCCCTAAAATAACTGTCTGGCTCCAGGTTAGCAGGTTCTCATCTCCAGATTATCAGGGAACGGTTTTATGCTCTGTCACTGTGGACAAGTTCATCCCACTAAACTTTAGGAGTGGGATTCAGCTCCAGAATCTGATATGCACTTTCAGGGGCCTGCACAGCAAATGATTGCTATGTGATCTAGGTGTCACTGCTCCCAGC